CGGTAAACGTACCTGGCGGCTTGAGCAATTCCCTGAAGGAATAGATGGGGTGGGGTCAGCATGGCTCGGAAGGCCTTACAGTTCACTGATACACTCTGGGCCTGTGTCCCAGAGGCTGACTGCCAGGAAGTGGATGCTGGTATGTACTTAAGCCAGTGGGTGTCACCAGGAACACCATTTATAAAGCAGGCATATCTGTAGTTGTGTGTGCTAGTCCGTAGCTGCACGACACATGATGTGAATCCTCTAAGAACTGGGGACTGAAGCTGGGGCCCTAGTGTACGCCGGGCAAACAGTCTACCACTGAATTATACCAGACCCTTGAGAGCTTATTTTACGGGCTGGAGAAAGAGATGAACAATGAAGTGCTTCTGTCAGAAGAGCAGAGTTCAGTTCTCGCACCACATTAGGTAGCCCACAGACACCAGTCTGAGGGGATCTGCTGCCCAGTTCTGGGCTCCAGGGGCATGCGCACACGGACACACACGTAAATATGTCTGGTTCTCAATTTGATATGTAAGCCAGCCAGGCCTTGCACTTGGTGTGTGTGTATGGTGTCTTCAAATTCTTCAAATTAAAAGATCACAAACCAAAGAAAGCAGAGGACCTTGAGAAAGCTATTTATTAGTGTTTTGAGCTTTTCAAGCTACAAGAGAGCAGAGTGGGGCACACTTACAGGTTATGTGGTAATGAAAGACACCCCCCCCCCCCAAAGTGAGCCAGGAGCTCTGGTTTTGTGGTTTATTTTTTCTTTTTCTTTTCTTTCTTTTTTCTTTTTTTCTTTTTTTATATTTTTTCTGGAACTGCAGTTACAGACAGTTGTGAACTGCTATGTGGGTTCTGGGAGTTGAACCCTGGTCCTCTGGAAGAGCAGCCAGTGTTTTTAACAGCTGAGCCATCTCTCCGGCCTTGCAGCTAACTCTTAGTTGGAAAGGCAGATGCAGCAATGAATGCCCTACCACATGAGGGTGATGTTGTGCAGGAGAACCAAAGAGAACTGTTTCCAGAGAGCTCTGTTAAAGTCTGGTTGCCCGTTTAACAGCAAACAGAATACGGCTGGTAGTGTTAACAAAGATACGGAAGAATAAGGAACTACTTTGGGGGCCAGAGAGGTGGCTCAGGGGTTAAGAGCATTTGCTGCTCTTATAGAGAGAAACCAGTTTCAATTTCTAGCTTCTGGACCAGGTGAGTCACCCCTGCCTATAGCTCTAATGCCAGGCATCTGATGCCCTCTTCTGGCCTGGGTGGTCACTGCAAACGTATGGCACCCATAGACAAGCAGGCGTGTGTGCACCCAGAGAAATAAAAATACTATTTAAAAATACTATTTTGAGAACTACAGCAAGATTGAAATGAGTTATGAAAGATGGGCAGAATGGGGAAAATGAGGATTTTCTTATCTATTTATTTACAGGGGATCTGTAGTCCAAGCCAGCCTCAAACTCACTTACATGTCACCAAGCCTTAAGCTTCCAAGTCTCCTACTTGTGCCCCCTGAGTGCTGAAGGTTTGCATCACCACACCCAGTTCGTGTGATGCTGGGCACTGAACCCAGGGCTCCATACATGCTGAGCAAACACTATTGGCTTGGCCACATACCTAGCCCTGGTCTAGTAGTATCTGGTGATCTTAAACAGTTGCTAACATGATTGTTTGAAATAACAATACCATTAATGAGTACAGCTTCGAAGAAGCCCCCCCGCCGTGTGTATACATTAGTGTTCATGTACATGCGTGAGGACTCACACTTGTCACAGCAGGCAAGTGCAAGTCTAAGGACACCCTCGGTGTTGGGCCTTGCCTTTAATTTCAGACAGTTTCTTGTTGTTAGCTTCTGTCTACGCTGATTGGCTCTAGAGCTTCTGGAAATTCCCCTGTCTCAATCTTCCCAGAGTGGAGACTGCAGGTGCCCACTTATTGTTTAAACGGTGCTGGCCAGGCAGCATGGCCCAGAATCAGTCTGCTTCCACCCATCCAGTGCTGACATCACAGATGCACACTGCCATGCCCAACTTTTACACGTGAGTGCTAGAGATCCAAATTTAGGTTCTCACACCTGCCTGGCCAGCACTTCACCTGCTGAGCCATTTCCCTGGCCCCATTCAACTAAACGGATTTAAACACCCAATCTAGGGTTAGGGTGACCCTATCTCAAAATATAAGGTGGGGAGCAATTGGAAAAGACAGCCAGCATCAACCTCTGACCTTCATATGCACATATACACACATGTACGAGAACCTGCACACACACAGGAGCACACACACGCAAAGATGAACATCAGAAGATGCAACCTCACAAGGAGAGAGGGTAGAATATCAGAGCTGGGAGTGGGGCCGATAGTGTTTAGTAAGCCCAGAGCCAACGTCAGGGTTCATCAAAAATTAGGGTATAGGCAGAAAAGATGGGCATACAACATTGTACAAACGCATGATGGCAGTGACCTGAAATATCACAAACGGTTAAAATGATAAATGTAGTACACCCATCCAGCATCCACATACCCATCTTCCATTGATCTATCCATCCATTCACCTATCCCTCCATCTACCCGTCCACCCACTTACCCGCCCATCCACCCACCCATCCATCATTCATGTATCTGTCTTCCCATCTATCATATGTTTTTTTGGTTTGTTGAGAGAAGGTTTCACTATATAGCTCACAATGGCCTGAACATTGCTGTGTAGCCTGAATCTAACTCATGGTCCTCCTACCTAAGACTCCATGCCTGGAGTTATTACACTTGTTATAATAATAACAAATGTAATAATAATAATAATAATAATAATGGTTTTAAACAATGTTTAAAAACCATTTCATACGCACACATCCATCTGAGGTGGGTTTTTCCTCCTCCCAAGAGGAACTCTGCCCCACTCACCCCCACAGAAAAGGAAGAGAGAAACAGAACTAGGCTCTGCCCACATCCACAGAGAACTTGTGGGAGTGAGCTGTCCATCCAGCCTGTGCCGCCCACAAGGTTGGACCAGGCATTTTCCCACGAAGATATCAGACTTTAATTAGAGGGGAAAGTGACTGGGGCTACAGTTCAGTTACTAGAATGCTTGCCCAACCTGCATCAGACTCTGGGTTCCATCCTAACCTGGAATCCTCATATTCAGACAATGGACGCGAGAAGAAAACGAGTTAGCTATAGGCCAGCCTGGGCTACATGGGACTCTTGCCTAAAAAAAGAAGGAAGGAGGCTGAGGCTGGGTGGTGGTGGCACATGCTATTAATCTCAGCACTTGGGAGGCAGGGGAAGGTGGATCTCTGTGAGTTCAAGGCCAGCCTGGTCTACAAAGTGAGGTCCAGGACAACCAGGGCTACACAGAGAAATCCTGTCTTGAAAAACCAGAAGCCAAAAAGAGAGAGAGAGAGAGAGAGAGAGAAGGAAAGACAGCCCGCCTCAAGTGTCGATCTGGCAGTCCATCCTCCGGCTTCAGCCACGTTACTCCATCTCTTTGAGATGTCCCTCTCAACACAAACATACCTTGTGGGCCACACAGTCCTGCAGCTCAGCATCCAGCTCGATGTTCTCACTCTCTGCAGACAGGTCAGTCAGGACATCCTGGGAATGTGGACACAGCAATGTCAGCCTGTGAAGCTGCACGGCGGGTGAAGGTGGCATGTGTGGGGACTGAGGACCGGGACACTTGGTCAGGCTGCTGAGAGATGTGTCCAGCCTCTACAATAGCGGAGGCAGGAAGCTGGCTGGGCGCCAGGCAGGAATGGCGGTGACAGAAGGACATCTAGAAACACCTTTTGTCTTGCATACTGTAATCTAAGGATCTTCCCAGCCCAGAGTACAGATTAGGGTCTGAGCAAAGCCCTGTTTCTGTCCCCGGAACACATTCAGTGCTCACTAAACAATGTGCTGATAGGGGAGAGGATGAGTGGCCAGGCTGAACCTGGAGGGAAGAATAACCATCCTCCCTGGGCTCCATGATGTTTTGGTTTCTGTTTGTGACCAGCTTTGAACCCCTTCTGCCTCTATCTCCCTTGCTGGGGCGGTAGGCATGTACCACATGCCCGGTTTACTTTCACATGATAAAAAGCCCCTCAGGCCCACTGAGGACACCTGGCACACTTAGTGCTGTGTACAGACTGGGACTAGGAAAGGGTGGCCAGGCAGGTCACAGCGCACCCACCAGGCTGGCAGGGAGCAAGCACTCGGAGGAAAGCCCTGTGCACTGGAGGTTTCTGGAGGAGGAAGGACAACACTGAGGCTTGTGCACAGCACAGAGAGACTGGAGCAGGCTGTGCTGGGTGCACGCTTTCGTTCTAGCACTTGGGGACACTTGGGGGCTACACAGGAAAGAAAAAAATTAACTAGGATGACCGAGATGACAGGAAACCTTTCTTTCGGTGCAGGAAACCAAATGGTCAAAACAAGGGCTGGGAAAGGATCTGGTCAGAGGGCCTGAGCTGTGAGAGCCAAGACGATCGACTGAGCGAGGAGTAATGGGCAATACTAATAGTATGAACTGAACTCCCGCCTTCCACATGGTATGTTAAGTGCTCTGCCTGAGTCTCTGAAAGGGAGTTAGATACTAGGCAGGTGCTCCACCGCTGCATTATATGCCCAAGAATCTTTTCTTAGCTCAGGCCTCACGATGTAGCTTTGGCTGGCCTAGAACTCACTCAGTAGACCAGGCTGGCCTCTAACTCTCAGAGATCTGCCTGCCTCTGCCTCCCAAGGGCTAGAATTGAAGTTGTGGCATTAGCATGCCCACCCCAGCCCTCTTTATTATTATTTATGTGTATGGGTATTTGTTTACATATATGTCTGTATACCAGACACATGCATGCCTGATCCCCTGGAAATGGAGTGATGATTGCAAGCTGCTATGTAGGTGCTGGGAATCGAACTTAGATTCTCTGAAAGAACAGTCAGTGCTCTAGGTCTGAGCCATCTCTCCAGCCCTGTTTTATTTTGATATAGGATCTAAGTTGATAGGCTGGCCCTAAATTTAAAATTCTCTTGTTTCAGCCTTCAAAGTGTCTGGATTCCAGGCCTGTCCTGCATAGTCAGCAGTCACTCTGGTCCTTCCTGGGCACGCCTAGAAGAACCAGGAAGTGAGAGTGGGGGTGGCAGAGAAGAAACCAGAAAGCAGATGCTGAAAGAGGGAAGAGAGCAGGACAAGAAGTGGAGGCGGGAGAGGACTGGAGGTGGACACGGGGCTCGCTGCACCCAGAAGAGGCAGCACATGGTGACTGGAGGAAGGGAGGGCCTGAGAGAACCCGCAAAGGAACTTGAGAGTACGTGACTATCTTTTTAAGTCTTTGTGTGTTGTGTATGTGTGCGTGTGCACGTTTGTGTATGAATGCAGGTGCATGTGTGCCATGGCCCAGGTACGGCGGTCAGATCAGAGGTGCACTCCATGTCAGCTGGTGTAGATGCCAGGCTATCTGGCCCCTGGGATTCCAGAGTCTCCTGTTTTCATCCCCTGCTTTGCTGCAGGAAACGCGGTACCGCCCCTGGGTTTTACGTGGGTTCCAGGGATTACACGCAGGTCCTCAGTGTTCCCCTCAGCGCACTTTACCATCGAGTCATCTCCAAGCTGCCCCTCCCACTTTTTCAAAATTCAGTCTTACTATGTAGCCTAAGCAGGAGCCAAACTTGCAATCCTTCTGCCTGAGCCTCTGGAGGTGGAATTACAGGAGTGTCCCACCACATGCGGCCCAGCGTGTCTTCTCACGGAAGGCTGACCCCACCATCCCATCTGGCTCTGGGTGCCAGAATTAGAGGGCGGGCTACCCAGGCTTGGGGTTATCCAGGCACATTTAAAGAGGGTCAGCAGGAGGCGACCCAAGCAGGTGTCCCTGTAGCCTGTCTTGGAATGTGTTGGCACCTCTGCTGCCAACAGCTGGCCATTAATTGGGAACCACCTCCCCATGTTTCATCAAGTTGGTGTTCCACAACCCATGCTCACTTCCTGGCTCCAGTGCTTCCCCTGGTTACCTCACACAGTGGCTTTCTTTGTTCCTAATGAAGATTTCCTCTGCCCCAGCACCCACTCGTGGTTCACTCTCTGCTCCCCAACAGTGCCCAGATCTGAATGTGTCAAACACGGCGGCATTACCTGGAGAGACAAGGTCCCTCTCACAGCAACCACCACGGCCTCTTTTCTGTGATCCAGAACCACTATGAAGGGCAGCTCATAGACCTGGAAGAGAAGAAGCCAGCACAAGGCCTGACCCATGGGACACAGAGCATCACCACCACCAAAGAAACCTGCGTGTCTGTGACCTGGTTTCTCTATCCTCCTGCCTCCTGCCTCAATCCCAAGTGCTGGGGTTGTACACACCATCACACCTGGCAACTTCAGGAGGTTTTTGTTTTCTTTAAATTACATTTATTCATTTATTTTGTGTGTGTGTGTGTGTGACAGTATATGTGAAGAAATTACAAGACAACCCGAGGGAGCTTCTTGTTCTCCTTCTATTGTGTGGGTCCCAGAGATTGAACTCAGGTCCTCAGGCTTAGAGGCAGACACCTTTACCCACTGAGTCATCTCACTAGCCCGACTGTAGAAGTCTTAGAAGTTCTGCCAACAGATTCTGTGGGTTACAGAGTCTGAAAACAGTTGCCCTCCACCAGGTTTTGGAGTAGAGAAGAGATTGGAGGGCTACTGAGCAACGATAACCACAGATCTGAAGGTGGTAGGCAGGTAGGTGGGTGTGTGTGTATGTGCACGCGTATACACGCATACACTCAAGTATGACTTCCATTCCAGGCCTTGTGGTGCAGGCTTGTATCCCAGCTGTTTAAAAGCTGAAACTGAAGCTGAAGCAAAGCAAATTCAAGGCTTATTGGGGTCACAGGCTAAGCTCTGGGCCAGCAGATAGGCAACGTAGGACATCTCAAAATAAAAAGTAAGGAGGCTGGGGATCAGCAAGATGGTTCATGACTGAAATACTGCTAGGCCTGATAACCTGAGTTCAACACCCAGGACCCACATGCACGCACGCCACTCCTACCACTAGATCCCAGAGCACTCGCGGCCCACATCTAGACACCCCGTCTGAGCGGTACCTTGTTGTGAAAGCTGATGTGAATGAAGTCCCTGTACTGCAGCCCGGTCGTCTTCAGGATGGAGGCAAAGTGGCAGCTGTGCTGGTCTCCTTCAACTGCGGCATGCTCTGTCTCTCTGCTTCTGCAGCTGCAGGGAGGACAAAGAGCTGACGGGCAGTCTGTGCCCCTAGCCAGAGCACAGTGATCCCCCTCTAGGATTTATCTAGAAAATTCAGGGCGGGGGAGGGCCGACCACTTCTAAGACATTCTAACAGCACAGTTTCTCAAGTAGCAGGGAATGGAATCCATGGTCTTGCGCATGGGGCAAGCACTTTTTCACTGAGCTACATTCCTGACTCTTCTTTCCTTCCTTCCTTTTCTCTTTCTTTCATGTCTCTATGTGTGTGTGCACATGTGCATGACCATGCATGCATTCATTCATCTCTGTGTGTTTGTGCACATGTGCATGCCCATGCATTCATTCATCTCTGTGTGCCTGTGTGTGCACATGTGCATGCTCATGCATTCATTCATTTCTGTGTGCCTGTGTGTGCACATGTGCATGCCCATGCAT